CTCACACACGCACGCCCACTCACACACGCACGCCCCCTCACACACGCACGCACACTCACACACGCACGCACACTCACACACGCACGCACACTTACACAACTACAGGGCCAATTTAGACTCGCCAATCAACCTATCCTGCACGTTTTTGGACTGTGGGGGGAGACCGGAGTCCCCAGTGAAAAGCACTATGGAGTAATTACATTAACTGACTGAGAAATTTTGTACATTATTGGCATGTTTCTGTTTCTTAGTGGTTGTTCCTCCTAGTTGGGGGGAATGTCCCAGTCCATGCAGTTTAGGCTGGGACAAGCCCAGGAGTAACCAGTGATGACCTTTTAGGGATGTCTGACCTTTTAGGGATGTCTGACCTCCAATTGGCCACAGTTTCTTTTTTTTAGTGCCTAAACTGGGCAAAGTCTGTAATCAGCAAGTCAATAGCTGTGATCAATACTTCATTATATACTTTGCATAAATTAATGCACATGCTTAGTATGCTTAAACGGACCAGGATGTGTAGAGTGTTTTACATTGCAGCAAAAGAACAGTGCCAGTGTTGTTATGGATAATGCAGTTTGCAAAATGTCTGAAGTGGTTAAAAAGTAGAAATGCACTGACCCCAATATCGGATCAGTACCAGCACCGATCCATACCTAATGTGGATTGCCCCTCCCTAGTAAAAAGTACAGTAAGGTATTTTACATTAGTAACTCGTAGGCCATAACACCTATTGATTGAAAACATTAATATTTTGCTACTCCTAGTTAATGTGAAACTTGTCATCTGGTGGAACCCTGCAGGCATACAAGAAGGTCACAGATACGAAAGATAGAACGGAGAACGGAGACGAGGAGAGCAAAGAGAACCAAAAATCTAAGTCTGATGACTCTGGTGAGGAGAAGAATGGCGACGGAGAATCTCAGAAGAACCGCCAGAAAAAGAAAGGTGAGAGTCTGCTGCAGATCTGCTGCGATCATCTGCTGCAAATCTCTCCGAGCAGCTTCAGAAAAGGAGTGTTCTTTTCATGTCAGCTATTTATTTTTCGTATGCTTGTATATTTAGGTTTGCTTTATTTGACCTGGGTGTTAGTGGCTTGCTGTGTCGCATGTGGACCCCCCCCCCCCGCCCCCCCACACTGATTAGAGATACAGGGCTAAAAATTGGATGCTGTTTCCTACAGCATGATGCACAAACCACATGCGACTGCCGCATACGCATGACTAGAAAACTGTTGTCGTTGTTCACACACCTGGAGTGTTTTTAAACTTTATAACTGAAATATTACAGTTTTAAAATTTTATGTACATGCACATGGTCATTACCCGTAGCACATGAGCTGCTTCCCAGTGCAGTGACACTGCACAGAAGCAGTTTGGAAGCACTGGCCAGTAGCTGGAATGCTGAGCCCACTGGCAGCCTAAAGCTGCAGCTGCAGGACCTAGAGGCAGAAGTCTATAGTTTAAAATATCTCTGGAAGTTTTAAAATGATTGGGAATGACATTTTCATCCATCCATCCATCCATCCATCTGTCTGTCTTCTGACCACTTAGAGTTGCGAGGTGTCCTGGGTTCTGTGACAGCCAGCACAGGTCACTGGGCAGGGCAGTGGAATTACATTTTTAATTTATTTATCGTGGGTTTTCCTCCTGGGCCTTATGCATTATCACACTGCCCACAAAGTAACCTCCGGTTGCCCCGCCCTCCCTTTTATAGGAAATAAGCAGAAGTGGGTCCCTCTGATGATTGACATGAACACAGCAGGTCCTGGGGAGCACTTGGCCTCCAGGAGCAACCGCCGGCAGAAGGACCCCCAAAGGATGTCATTCAGTCACAGGAACCAGCTGCAAGGTGATGCACAGACAGATCGTCTCGCGGGCCCCGACTCGCTTCTGCATTTACATAACGGGAAAAATGATGTGTGGGATCGGTGTGTATCGTGGAGTGTGGAAATAGGAGACGTCCCCATTTAAAACTGGTTTGGGTGTTTGTGAGTCTGTAGCGGTGAGAGAGTCTGGTTTGTGTGGTCACAGACTGGGACAGTGGGAAGGCGGAGCGGCAGGAGGATCCAGGCGAAGTGGCCAGTGTGAGGAGCGAGGGCGCCTCCTTCCGGGGCGCTTTCCGAGGACGTGGCGGGGGCAGGGGACGCGGGAGAGCCAGGGGTAAGTCTACGGAATTATTAAGATGAGGGGAACATGCAAGATTCACAAACCTACTTTTAATCATCCCGTGTAATGTGATGGTAAATATACATGGTAAATGTGGCGCTCTGTTTGTGTACATGGTAACTGCACACCAAAAATCCGTGTCATGAATGAAACTGCTGTGCAGTGCCACTGGCAGCGCGACTGGCTGTTGGCAGCTTGGGTCGGTTCCCATTGGCTTCCCCAGCATATGTATGTCAGATGGCCTCTCTCAGGATCTCGTATTAAGCCGAAGGATGAAAAGGGGTAGCCTGTGGCTTGGCGGGCTAAGCCTCTATGCCTGTGATCGGAAGGTCGCCGGTTCGAGTCCTGGCCTCCGCAGTATAGTCACATTTGTGTGCCCTTGGGCAAGACCCTTAACCCCCAGCTCCATGGGCACCACTGCAGGTGGACAATAGTAATAATAATAATTATTATTATTATTTTGAGGGAAATATGGTCCTTTTTCATTTATTGGTATTTTGTTATATATTGTATCTTTACTTCAAACGACAGCCTTAGTGCTGCAGTAACTACACAGTGTATAGTTTGGTTCTCAGCTTGCTCTTAGAAAGTTCTTTTACCTTATTTGGAAATGTGATATTTTCAGCGGGACTTCTGCATCAAGGTAATGATGATTGTATTGAAACACGTTCTTTTATACACTTCATGGGTATGTGACGTACCCGTGTCAGTTTTTGTGTTTGCTCATGTGTGATGTTGTAGGGAACTTTGAACATCCACACGTCTCTAAGACCTACGATGGCAAAGACGGATACTGTCAAAAGCAGAAGTTCAACAGCACCGTCACCTATTACTATGACAACATGAGCAGCAGTGACCTCTATTCTGTTGACCAGGAACATCTCAAGGATTACGTCAAGAGACAAATGTAAGCGCCTGCCTGTCACAGAAGAGGCTCAGCCTCTGTTTAATGCTTTGTCTTTGCAAAGCTTGGCTTGTTGACGTCCGGAAGCCTGGATCGAGTTCTCCTCTGTTTGTTTCTATAGTGAGTATTACTTCAGTGTTGAGAACCTGGAGAGGGACTTTTTCCTACGTCAGAAGATGGACCAGAATGGCTTCCTGCCCATCGCTCTCATAGCCAGCTTTCACCGTGTGCAAGCCCTGACCACTAACCTCAGGCTAATTATGGAGGTAAGGACCTTTCGATGATTAACCCCAAGACTAGCGCTTCCTTTGAATCAGTTTTTAATGCAATCACTGTTTGTGCAGTGAATTCATATAAACCTTTATAGAGATACGAATCGTACAAATGATTTTCATGAACAAGGTTCTTTCGTTTTATTATACTTTCCATTTGCATGGTTCATCCTTTTGGTTTCAAACAAATGTATTTACCCATCAGACTTTGAAGAAACCTGTTTAATGAAATTACATGGTTATGTTTAGCAAATAGATTTGTTTCTTTGCAGTCTTTAGTTTTACATGCCTCTATGTGAAGGTGTATTTGACCGTATCTGTAGGCCTTGAAGAACAGCAAAGAGGTGGAGGTCATAGAGCTGAAAATCCGTCCACGAGAGGAGCCAGAGAAATGGCCGCTACCCGGCCTCACTGTGCCAGACCACGCACATACGGACTTCTCTCAGCTCATCCATTGTGCAGAATTTGTTCCTCGCCAAGCCTCTGACAAACAGACAGGTGAAACTTTCATGGCAACTAATCCCACTAAGCATGGCTGAGTGTCTGAGGAGATGCTGAGAAGCCCAGTGTTGAGGTCAGGAGGTTTGTCAGTAAAGCAAGAGATCTGGTTGGAGCTCATCATTGCTGTTGTGTCATCCACAGAGTCTGCCCCAGGGTCTCCAAGAGCATCCACTCCAGGGCAGTCCAGAACTGAGGATCTCAGCAATTTGAAGACTATGCCCAAGGGGCTATCTGCCAGCTTGCCTGACTTGGACTCAGACTCATGGATTGAGGTGAAAAAGAGGCCGCGACCTTCACCAGTAAAACCGAAGGTATGTTTCATTTTACAAACCTTTGGATAGAAATATTTTCTGTAACCAGCCTGTTTTTCCCATGCCTGTGGTGCAAATGCATACATGTGCATGACTGTTACCCCCCCACAGGACGTGGAAGAGGCCCGACTCCCAACTCAGCACCAGGATGAGCCGGAGGAGTTGGACTTCATGTTCGACGAGGAGATGGAGCAAATCGACGGGCGACGCAACACCTTTACCGATTGGTCAGACGAGGAGTCGGACGGCGAGATCGACGATCATGATGTCAACAAGATCCTGATTGTGACTCAGACACCCCCTAACCTGCGCAAGCATCCCGGGGGGGACCGTACTGGGAACCATACCTCACGGTCCAAACTTACCTCTGAGCTGGCCAAGGTCATCAATGATGGATTGCACTACTATGAGCAAGACCTGTGGAGTGACTCTTATATGCCTGAGTATTCCACCATCAAAGTGAGTCTTGCATTTGTCTGGTCTCATCAATAATCATTTGTTGTGGCAATATTTGTTATTCCCACCTTAATGAGCAGTAGTTCTGTAAAGCATAGTTACCTGCATTTAACTAAGCAAACATGTTAATGTATATTTTGTATATAAAGTGCTCACAGAAAGTCTTGAGACGCTTGCCTTATTCAGTAAAAATGTTGCACATTTTTGGTTTTATAAAACCTTGAGTGAAAAAGTTAATTGATAAGCAGGCTCATTGGGGGGCTTTTTAATTAGGGACACCTTTGCAGTAACATAAAAAGCCAAAGATTTGTGTTTAGTATCCCTTTGGGAGCCAATGGCTACAATTGCAATTAATAGCAAAATGGCAAGAACAGAACTGAATTATGACACAAAATAAAAGGAAAATGTCTGTGTGAAAGATATGGACAGATACGCTAAATATTGCTTGTCATGTATATAAAATGTATTGACATTTAAATGAATGTTTGTGAATATTTTTCAGCAAGAAGTTGAGAATTTCAAGAAAGTCCACCTGATTAGCAGAGAGCAGTTTGACTGCTTGACTCCAGAAGCTCCTGTGGACCCCAACCAAGAAGTACCTCCTGCCCCCCCAAGACCCCAGCCAAGTAAGCGGGGGCTCCACTGATTTAAGCGATGGATGGACTAAGAATAATTCATAGGCGAATGAATACTAAACGGATGTACAGGCCTTGTCTAATTACGGGAGTACATGATTACAAGCAATGTGAGCGATTTTAATAGCCAGTCTTGACATGCCTCTGATTAACTTAACCGTATGACTAATTAAAGTTATTTTCTCCCATCTTTCCCTCCAAACACAAACCAGTCCAGTCAAGTTCTCTTCTTGTCATTCTCAGTCCCCACAGATGCTTTGGCAAATAAGCTTTTCGGTGCCCCGGAACCGTCCTCGATGGCCCGCTCTCTCCCAGCCACCGTGCCCGACTCTCCCAGCTACCGCGGTGCCCGCACACCTCGCACGCCTCGGCTTAAGGACCCCAGTCAGATGCCCCGTTTCTACCCAGTGGTGAAGGAGGGGCGGCCCGTTGATGCCAAGGTGAGATGAAGGAGCCCCCCCGCCCCCCATCCACGTGTGCACGGGACGGCGAGTTCAGACCTGTCATGGTGACTCCTGCCTTTCTCGTCCTGCAGACTCCACGCAAGAGGAAGACTCGGCACAGTTCTAACCCTCCCATGGAGTGCCACGTGGGCTGGGTGATGGACTCCCGCGAGCACATGTCCCACACAGCAGCAGTCAGGTTAGCTTTCGGGGGGTTTGGCAGCCCTGTAATATTCCTCGACCATTTCTATTGCTAGATACCTTAAGTTGTGGAGTAAACTAATGCTGACGTCTAGAAGCAAACTATTGCATTGATATTGATTTGCCTTTGTGTAATTGCAGAATCAGTTCTTTATTGGTGTTGCCTGTGTCAAATGGTTTATTTAGCAGGGCAGTACTCGAAACTGGTAACATTGAAGGAACTTTTATTTATCAGAGAGGAAAATTCTTGTGCATACAAGTATGTGCAGCACAGTGTACAGCACAGTGTGCAGCACAGTGTGCAGCACAGTGTACAGCACAGTGTACAGTACACAAACAGAATCCTAAACAACCGATTATGGAACATTAATATAGTAAAAGGCAAAAATTTAGATATGTGGCATAATTTATATTATTAAATTAAATTTTATTAATAAATATAACTTACATTTAAAAACTGGCCCTTTGAATTCATACCCAAAACCATTTTCTAAATCAAATCACAAAAATAAAGCATCTTGTTGTAAATTTTGATGTCCCAAGAAAAGGAGGGAAGAACGGTATTCCTGTATGTACACTTCTTTTGCCAAGGAAGAAGTCTACCTAATACTCCATCATACTAATACTCCATCTTTAACGGTTTTTCTAAAATTGCTTTGATCCTGATCTCATCTTTTCCCCCTGTGTATCTGCTAAGATCACAGAGACGGGACGGGGGAGCCTTGATCTTCCAGTATATGAAAGATACTCTCGCTTTTTTTTATTTCACAACCAGGGAATCAAAGTATCACTGAAATCTCTTTGTATTGTATTCAAAATAGTTTGACTTTGGAACGGAGTCTTTTTTTGTTTTTTTGTTTTTTTACCTGGGAAAATCAATAAGCTTTTTTTCTCGTCCCTCAGCTCAAATGCAAGTCCTTCAGAGGGAATCCCAGCTACGGGATACTATGGCTGTTCGCCTCAATCTCTGCCCAAATTCCAGCACCCGTCGCATGAGCTGCTGAAGGAGAACGGATTCACGCAGCATGTTTACCACAAGTACAGACGGCGCTCCCTTAATGGTGGGACTCGCATTCAGCTGCCCGATTTTCTCATGCCTGCCCATCTTCGTGCCTCGGCATGTAAAGCTTGTGTTTCGTTTTCGCCACGTAACAGAGCGCAGGAGGCTGGGAGTCGGCCAGTCTCAGGAGATGAACACTCTCTTCCGCTTCTGGTCCTTCTTCTTGCGAGACCATTTCAACAGGAAGATGTACGAGGAGTTTAAACAGCTGGCAGTGGAGGACGGCAAAGAGGGATACAGGCAAATATCTTAACTGCTTAAGCTGAAGTGTTTAAATTCCAGTTCTTTATCTTTTTTTTCTCTGGGTTCTGTTGTTGAGTTACTCCAATCATCACTTTTTATGTCTTTTAATTCTCTGTGTGCCTTAGGTATGGCTTGGAGTGCCTTTTCAGATACTACAGCTATGGACTAGAAAGAAAATTTAGACCAGATATTTTCAAGGACTTTCAGGAGGAGACAATGAGGGATTATGAAGCAGGTGAGTTTATTTCAAGGATATTAAATGTCATGGTTACCTCACATAAGTGCCTTTTTCTCAAACCTTTTTGTTCCCCCGTTCTCCTTTAGGGCAGTTGTATGGACTTGAGAAATTCTGGGCATTTCTCAAGTACTCTAAAGCAAAGAACCTGGCGATTGACCCTAAACTACAGGAGTACTTAAGGAAATTTAAACGGCTTGAGGACTTCAGAGTTGATGTAAGTATTAATATCCATCTTTTTTGAAGTGCTTTTATGTTCAAAACATTTTTTCAGTCTTGTTCAAAATGGAGCTTCATTTCATTAGTTATGCAGTAACAGAGTAGTATTTTTCATGTACTTTATTTGCCATTTATACAAGTACATAGGAGTTCTTCAGAAGGTTTTGGTGTCATGACGTGTGCAGTGTGCAGTGTGCTGTGTGCTGTGTGCACGGCCCCAGGAGCAGCTGGGTTTATGGGCTTTACTCAAGGGCCCAAAAGTAGTATTACTCTGCCAGCCACAGGATTCGAGCCCACAACCTTCCAGACGTGGGGGCAGATCTTTGATCCATTGATGGACACACTGCTGATCAATTAAACTGCTAGTGGCTGTAACCATGATTAGTGTTTGTCACACACCGGTCTGATCGTTACAGCCACCAATGGAGGACGGCGGAGGAAAGAGACACCCGTCTGGAGGGGACAGCCACCGCCACCACAGCTCACGGCCCCCCAGGGCCGCCAGTCAGACCAGCCCGGTGCAGCCTCAACAGGGCCCCTCCACAGCTGACGCTGAAGCCAGAGTCCTCATCCCAAGGGGGGCAACATCCAACAGCAAGCCCCAGAAGTAACGGATCCTCTTTGTTTCAGTTCTAGCAGTGAGGAGGTGCCTCTGGCAGCGGAATTGCTGCAGAAAGAGGCATTTACATTGGCTTGTGATCAAGGCTCTTCCTTTTAAAGACTAATTGTTTTTAGACGTCATTTTATTGTGCACAGAAGACTGAATGACTTCTAAATGGACAACAGCATCACATTCTTTTACAAGACATGCCATTTATTTTAAGAATTATTTTTTTTATCCTGTTGCATGGCTGTTTGGCACCTTTTTTAGTGCTTTTTTTGTTTTTGGTTTTTTTTTGGTTTTTTTTTTTCCGAAAAACAGATTGTTCACCTGACTGGCTTGAAGCAGGAGTGAATGAATGACATTTGCCTTACTTTGTGTGCTCTCCCCTCAGAATGCCCGTCACTTTTGGATGAACATTTTGCTTGCAATATGCAATATCAGTTCTGTTCCAGTGGAAACTCTCGAATTACCCACTTCACCCACCGTTCCCAGCTGCTCCTGTAGTACAGTCTTCCAGTCTGTTTTTTTTCTTCTACCAATGAATTACAGAGTGACTGGATTTACACATTCCACGCGAGAACTTGACGGAGACCACAATCTACCTGAAATCTTTGGTGCTATTGAATAATCATCTTCCAGCAACAAGAACCAAACAGCCAGACAGACAGACTGTATCACTACTAGATGTAGTGTGAGTGTGGTGTGTCACGTCCAGCTGTTGGCGGGTGGCAGGTCCTTGGCAGGTGTTTACAATCCTCCCACCACAGGTTTCCTACAAATATACCCAGATTCATTGTCTCGCCAAAAGTGTGAAAAACTGTCACTTTGACAGCATTTCCCAGAAAGAAAAAAAACATGGTTTTGTGTTCGTCAGCCATAACTCCCTTCCTGATGAGAGCTGACTTAAGCTGTTCCCTTTTCTTTGAATATATGAAAATCTCTATGATCTTTATGTCTATTTTAGTCTGATTTATTTAAATTACCTTTTTTGTTTTTTATGGTCGGAGTGTATTAACTGTCATAATTTTCATTTGTAAATGCAGAAAATGTAAAATCAATCCTCTGGGAGGATGTAACTAGGGAGGCCAAACCTGCTCTGGTTACCTGCATCAGGTAGCGGGTCCTGACCCTAGGCCGCTCTCTGAAGGTTCGTCCCATTCAGGGTCTTCTGTGAGATCTCGCCTCAGCATTGTGCTGTCACGTTCAAGGTGCTCCGGTAGTGCATGGGAACGGAAGGACGACATCCATCAAGCCATAACAAAAAGATAATTCTATAAGATCCAGTATATTAATAGTTCACAACCATTAAATATTTGGGAGCTAAAAACACCTGATGGGGAAAATATTGAAATGTAAAATACTTGAGTGATCTCTTGTATCATAATGTCTGCTTTAGAGGCTGACAGTGATTTGCTCCTAGTGTTTGTAATTTGTAGTAATTATTCTTTTCCTTAATAAATGTAAAATGTACCAAAAGGCAAAAACAGCCCAGTTCTTGTTTATTCCTATTATCATTACACTTGGTTAACATGTTATTTTCTTGCTTCATGCATTGCCTTTCATCAAAACATGGTTCTCTTTAATATAAATAATCATTAAGAAATGCGCGCGAAATCATCATATCATATGACAGCCAATTACTACGTATTACTTGGAGTCGTGAAATGTTACTGTGTAATTTGTGCAAGTCGGTGCTCCACACCGTTTGTCCGGAGTGACGCGCGGCATGTGATACGGGCTGGATCCCGGCCTGGGTGATTAAGTGCCTTTTCGGCTTCACACGCAAGATGGAGACCGAACTGCATACTCGGCCAGGACCGTTGATTGAAGCGAGCCGAGGAGGAAATAAACCGCGAAGTTTTATACAGAACCAGGCATAGCAGAAACTACGTAGATTTTTGCATAATGTGTGTGCGCGAGAACACGATTTCTGAATTTATCTAAGCAGCTATTACCGGTTTGGCATTTTTATCCAGCGGCAGGTTACTAACGGGATAGGCGACCTAGGATCTGTTCACTTTCTCACCACTAGATGTCATTTCGCGCTCATTTTTAACTCCGTTGTCATTTCAGGTCTTTAACCTGTGCTTGTGATATCTGTAATAAAAGCAGTTAACATCTTAGTATTTTAATGATTATGCGCAGTGGGCGCTCACGATTAGAGTGAGCAAAGTGTACTTTACCAGTACGAAGAGAGGGGTTCTCTCATACTGTATGCCCACGTGAAATTACTGCCAGGAAACCCAGGCAAGCTTACTCCAGCAATCACACTCCGCAAATGCAGAGTGTCTGCTCCTGCAGCTCTGTGCTCTTGGGCGTCCCTTTTGAAATTGTAATCTTTGTTAAAAATGCAACAAAAACACTACAGGGAAATCTACGATTATGGTTATTCACATTAAAAATGAGAACCTAACAAAACTGGGACCGATTGGAAGCACACGATGATTATAAATGTATTTTAATTTTAGAAAAGCACTTCATAATAGCCTAACATTACAATTCCCTTACAGTGATTTAGTCCATAAGTAACAAATAATGGAGAAACGTATAAGGATTGGAATAAAGGAGAGGCTCACACACCCTGTCAACTAAGGATGTGTTTTTAAAAGTTCTAGATGTCCATCCAAATATAAAAATGTACATTTTACTATGGTTCGTTTAGCCAGCCCTACCAAAGAAGAACCCCTGGTCCACACCTTGCTGGTTGCTGTCTTCTGAGGGGGCGCTGACGTAGCGAGCCCATTTCCCTTTATCTCAGACAGGGGGCGCCAGCAGTGACGTCTGCCTAATGTTCCACATGGGTGCTGTCTTCGGAGGGGGTGCCGACCTAGCGAGCCCATTTCCCTTTATCTCAGACAGGGGGCGCCAGCAGTGACGTCTGCCTAATGTTCCACATGGGTGCTGTCTGGTACACTAGTTAACGCAGGAAGCATAATAATTTATCGTAGTTTGCCAGCTGATTCCTCAGCTTCCATATAAGTCAAAGGGGGCCATTTTAATGTAACTCATCCGAGGAGTTGAAAGTCAAGAACACCCCTCACCCAAAAAAAAAAAAAGATTTCATGGAATGTTGGTTAAGCCGCCTAAAGGAAACCAGAATTCAAGGGCAGGTTATGTGAACCACAGGAGTGACTAATGGAGAGAGTTTGCCTGTGACGGAAGACAGAATCAATGCTGTATCTGCGTATTCGTCAGACCTCTGGCTAAATAACCACTAAGGCGCTGCCATCCAAGGTAAATTTGCTTTCAAGAACATGTTTAAGAAGCACAACATACGAGAGACAAGAGTCCCCTCAGCCAGCCTCAGCATGCGAGTTACAGTCCTGCCGGATCAGAGGATATATGCTCTTCTGAATTATAATCACTTCCATTTATTTGATAAGGCCCCTCATGGATTTAGTTTTTAATATGACCAATTGTGAACTGTTAGATTTCCAGTCTTGGTTTTCAGTCCTTAAAATTTAAATATGCTTTATGCACTTAAAATTCACCCACTAATCCAAATTTCAGTAACTACTATGTAGTCTTGATCACAGTGACTAAAATGTATCTCTGGAACCACGCAGGAAGGGCAGGCACATACTTACTAAAGAGCACTTTCCAGCTTTAAGAGTCTACACATGCGTTTGGAAGGAGGAATCTCAGCATGGGAACACGTCAGCTTCAGACTTCATACCGTGAGTCTGCCTATGCGTGCATGCATGCTCAAAATGAGACACGATGTTTACAGCAAGTAAATGCTGCAGGTGTCATGCTAAACAGTGGGTATCAAAGCATGTAGGGCTGTAGTCAAACAATATTTGCGTTTCCTTTCTTTGGGAGCTCACAGTTACATTTGCTTTGCACGGGTGGGGGACTGAAAGTTGCAGGCGTCATGGGTAAGCGATACTGCTTAGGCTGTTACAGACTCTGCAGTCATTGCTTCTGTACAGCATCTATGTACGATGTTTGTCCTGCTCGTGCAGAGAAGACTTTACAAGGGAATATATAAAACATCAAGGTGTCTGCAGAGGTGCATGAGCTCTACTGGTCACACTGGATACCGGGTGGGAAATGAGTGGCTGGCTGGGATGTGCTGCTGTGTGTGGAGAATAGGCTTTATATTCCCCTACAGAGGAAGACCGGGATTCCTGCATCAATCTTCGCAGGGCTGGTGTACACTCTGAGTGTAGCTGTTACATTGCAGGCTGGTGTACACTCTGAGTGTAGCTGTTACATTGCAGGTCTGGTGTACACTCTGAGTGTAGCTGTTGCATTGCAGGTCT